ACACACAACACACACAACACACACACAACACACACCCACAACACACACACAGACACAGACACAGACACAGACACAGACACAGACACAGACACAGACACAGACACAGACACAGACACAGACACAGACACAGACACAGACACAGACACAGACACAGACACAGACACAGACACAGACACAGACACAGACACAGGCACAGACACAGGCACAGACACAGACACAGACACAGACACAGACACAGACACAGACACAGACACAGACACAGACACAGACACAGACACAGACACACACACACACACACACACACACACACACACACACACACACACACACACACACACACACACACACCACAACACACACACACACCACAACACACACACACGCACCACAACACAAACACACACACACACACACACACAAACACACACACACACACACACACACACACACACACACACACACACACACACACACACACACACACACACACCACACACACACACACACACACACACACACACACACACACACACACACACACACACACACACCCACACACACACACACACACACACACACACACACACACACACACACACACACACACACACACACACACACACACACACACACACACACACACACACACACACACACACACACACACACACACACACACACACACACACACACACACACACACACACACACACACACACACACACACACACACACACACACAACACACACACACACACACACACACACACACACACACACACACACACACACACACACACACACACACACACACACACACACACACACACACACACACACACACACACACACACACACACACACACACACACACACACACACACACACACACACACACACACACACACACACACACACACACACACACACACACACACACACACACACACACACACACACACACACACACACACACAAAGCGCGCACACACCCACATCTGCACAAAATCCTATCACAAACTGCAAGCCTGCATGGCTCGTTAAGCAATGTGTTTCCCAAAATTGCTCCCCCTTTGTTGTGGTTCGCCCGTGTTTCTGTGTGAAGCCACCGTAGAACGGGAGAGTCACGCCCCTTCGCATTCTGTGCAAGCGAGCGTCATGGAAGTAGGGCCCTGGAATGAACAAACAAATCAACGCAAGCAGGATGTACTTGTGCGAACCTCGGCTGCCATCACGCTGGGCTCCGGCCATATGTGGGTCATCTGAATTCACCAATCTTAAATTCTAATCAAGACATGACCCACCAAATCCCTTTGTGAATTTGCTATTTTCTGCCCAAACAAGCTCCTGTCAATGCCTGTCAAATATGGCAAAGGGGTCACCAGCGTCACAGTTGAATATCCCTCGCATGCTGCCACATGCTCTCGTAGGTTGACTTGCTGTATTTGGGGTTAACGGGCCGCTTGGGGGGAACTCATCACCCGATCATCGGAGATGGGCCCTTTTTCCCCTAGGGTTCCTCTGTGTTGTCGGGGATTGGTCACCCATCTCCCCATGTTTCCTAAACACATCTTCTGATCGCTTCCGCGTCTTCTGTTCCTTTCTCTGTTTGTTTTTTCCTTGCTTCTTCTTCCTCTTCTTCTTCTTGTGTGGTTTTCCCCCCCATTATTGGCAAGCCCATTTTAACAATCTGATGGCAGCCGCATCTCAGTCGTTGCTCGCTCCAGGTGGCCTCGTCTTGGATCCACAAAATACTTGGCCACATGCCTGCCAGGCTTGAGCCCACCATGCTCACACGCCCCATGGGGGGGGGGGTGCTAAGAGGTGTGCAAAGCAAACGAGCTTTCTAAAACACAACCCGCTCTTGGCGTTCAAAGCTGCAAGCAAGCTTCAAACAATATCCCTTTGGCTCCTCAAGAAGCTTTGACCACCTGCCTGCTGCAGCAAGCGCTGAAGGAGAGGAGAAAGAACACCACCAGAATCCTCAGCACCCCCATTTGCAATGAACCAACCGCCCTTTGCTCAAATGAACAACAAGTCAAAGGAAGACATGGGATAAACCACATGGGCGCCTTCAAAAAGACATCTTTTACCCCTGCAGGAGAACCCCATGAAGTTGGCGTGGTAGAAACCAACCCTGCACTCATCAGGAAAACGGACAAGGAGTAAGGGGTTGTCGCAAAATGGGATATGACAACCCAAAACGGGGTCCATGCTCTGTTTGGGCTTCCTTCAAACCACTCCAAAAAAGGCCCTCCTGCTCGCGCCAGTCTGCACCGTGCATTCCACCGCTCAATTGTAGGGGTCATTCCCTCATTCCCTGCCTCTCAAACCAAGTAAAGGTTACACCAGAGCAATAACTCCTCAAAGCGGCAAGACCACCCAGCCATTCACGTCTCCGACGAGCATGACTGAAGAGATTTCGCCGCTTCACCATGACATGGCCCAAGCCTTCTCCCGAGTTGCGAGCTGCTCTGAGGGACCTGTTCTATGTTTCGGGAGGACAACAAAGTCCCACGCCCCCAGAAGTCCTTAGCTCGAACCTTGTTCGATGTGGTTCTGGCTGAAGGGTCTGTGGTAAGGGGTCTCAGCAGAGTTGGCCAGTTTGCAAAGTGTGTGTGTGTGTGATTGCATGTGTCTGCAGCCTAGTTTCGGTGTATCCGGCTAATCCACAGTCTCCCGCCAATCACCAAAGCAAAGTGGCGAAGTCTGTTCTGAAGCACCCTCCCAAGTCCACCGATTTCAGGTTGACACGCGTGTTTTGACTCAGCGACTCTACGTTCACGGCTGCGGGGACGGCGCTGTGATCCGCGAAGCCTTGGCCAACACGCCCTGCAGATGGCGGCTTTCCCCCTAAGTCTACCTTCCAAGCAACCCCAATAAGGGTATCCTCAAAAAAGAAGCAGCACTTCTCACCCCCGAACCATTTCCCCAACCATTCAATACCCATTCTGAGAGGTTTACCATGGTTTAGAGTGACATATTCCTTCTGGGTGGTTTGCCAGGAAGCTTGAACCAGTGGCACTTGATTGCATGAACCCGGGTTCAAGTTGCGTTTCACACAACCTGAAATGAGGAACCCAAGAAAGGAATCTTCATTGAGAAGGTCACAAAGCCGCAACTTGTGAGGTCAACTTGCTTTGCCACGTCGCAAACAAATCCATGACAAATCGCCCCGACCCTGGATGAAATGCTGTGGATCCTCCCTCCGAGAAATTCTGCCCTTCTGACAAAGTTCAAAAGTAGGGCCCTGTTGAAACGCGTGTGATATAGACCCCCTTTTCAGAAAAGACCGTTTGCAGGCAAGGAGCCGAAGCCCAACATTCGGCTGATTCACTTCAGGACCAGTGGACATGGGCAAAAACAGGCACCCTTTTTGTCGGTCGATCATTCGCATTAACCCCACTGGGCAACTGGGAATCGCCTGTAACTTATCGTAGCTGGCTGGTTACTTGCAGTCTTTAGCCAAACAGTAGCCATCCGAAGCGTCCAAAAACTAAATCCATCTTGTGGGCCACGTGAGGTCTGTTGATTGAACCTGCCAAACAGGGAAGCTACCCCCAAAGACATGTTTTTGATTCTATCAGACAGGGTTCCCTAGATTTATTTCCCCTTACATCACCAGGAATCTCACTTTAGCTTGGCCAGACAGGTGATGCTTAACACCACCCAACGGGGAAATTTAGGGAACCCTGCTGTAACAAAACTCACTTGTTCTCATGCGCAGCTGCAAAGTCCGAGCCTCGCTTTGGGTGATGCGGTTTTCTTTGGCTTGGCCACGCTGAAAACCTGACAGGCGCCGCACACGAGACATGACAATGGTAACGTATGCGTGTACATCATTTAAAGGGCTTCACAAATCATTTACTCTTATGAATAGTTTTCTCCTACAGTCATCAAGTACTAACAAATTATCTTGAAGCTGCAGTACCCCTTTGAAATGCCTCTTTGGCAAGAGCCCCAAGGCTTGATGTTGACATACTTCCCATCACCAGGTCGGGTTGGTGCGGTCGTACCGCAAAACAAAGACTGCCCAGCTCGGGTTCAGGGTCAACTTGCCAAACAAGCTTGAACACACACATATATATATATATATATAAAACCCGTTTCAGGTTTGTGCTTCAAGGGGCCCGAAGGCATACATTTGGGCCAGTTGAAAAACACGTTGACCAGCTTTGGAAAAGCTGGTCCTGCAAAAAGCAGGTGGCTTCTGGGATATCCCTTCCTGGACCCGGTTCAATGGGGTCCCTTCAAGTCTGGTTGCAACCGGCTTTGCCAGCCCCACGCCTCATCGTCGTCGTCGTCGCCGAACAGCGAGGCCGCAGAGGCCCGTTTGGCGTCGTCAAAAACGCCCTTCGCGCAACCCATTCGATCCGGGTGCAAAGGCTGTGGTCCCGGGTGGGAATCTACTTGACGGTTGGGTCACATGTCACATGGAGTAGAAAACCGGTCGCTGGTGCGAAATCACAGGCTGGTTCGCAAACAGCAAAATCATCAAACAACATTTTCCCTCATAGAGGGAAACCAGAGTCTTCACGAGCCTTACTGTACATTGCAACCAATGTTTAAGGGGCAAACACAGACCTCGGACACCAAAACAGCTAAACTAATTTTCTGCCTGGGTCTTCTCGTTTTGGAGTGTATGTCTGCATGATCTGAAGCCGATTCCCTACATGGGGGGCCGCTTCTTGTTGAGTGGTAATCAGCGGACTGCCAATGATATCAGTTGCTCACCTGTCGGCAATACAGAAAGCCAGCAACTCCAATGATCTGGTTTGGCCGTCACACAATGCAGAAGCTGGCAAGTTTATGCACCGCCAACAAACCCGTGGCCTGCAAACACATGCAATTCCGCGTCTTATGCATCTCACTTCCATCATTGTGCTTGCCAGCAGCAGGATTGCTCATGTTCGCGCTCTCTCTCTCTCTCTCTTGCTGCTCATAAGTCTTTGCGTCTGGCCATATCCGTCTGTCCGTTTCTCTCCACATGACCACAAGCTTCTGGCTCTCCCCAAACTCCGACCAGTACTTTCGCGACCCAAAAGAAAGAGGAGTGCCTTTGAACAGCTCAAACAGGAGCTGCGGTGCCATCCAACTGACAGTCACAAGAAGAAGTGCAGAAGCCGTCTACCTGCCTGTCTGCTTCCACCAGGCACTTCCCGGAATGCAGATTCAAATTTCCATTCCCGAGGTTAGGCCAAGCTCAGAGAACACACCGCACCTTCTTGGAAGTAGCCTTCAGATCGCTCGCCCGCCTGAACGTGGCAAGTGTGTGCCCACTGAAACCATGGACCTCTAAACCAGGGAAGCCCCCCAAAAACAGGTGGACCCTCTGAATTTTCTTCTATCCCGAACCTTTCCCACGGAAAACCACCAACACTCACTGTTCTGAGTCAACAACCACGCACACTGATTAGCCTCATTCCCGCTTCGTCCTCTTGATTCTGCCGTGTGGCTGCCTCCTCTCTTTTTGTGCGCTCGTCCTCCTCCTGCTTTTGTCGCAAAACCTCTTCCTCTGCTTGCTGACGTGTGGCTGCCTCCTCTCTTTCCCTGCGCTCGTCCTCCTCCTGCTTTTGTCGCAAAACCTCTTCCTCTGCTTGCTGACGTGTGGCTGCCTCCTCTCTTTCCCTGCGCTCGTCCTCCTCCTGCTTTTGTCGCAAAACCTCTTCCTCTGCTTGCTGACGTGTGGCTGCCTCCTCTCTTTCCCTGCGCTCGTCCTCCTCCTGCTTTTGTCGCAAAACCTCTTCCTCTGCTTGCTGACGTGTGGCTGCCTCCTCTCTTTCCCTGCGCTCGTCCTCCTCCTGCTTTTGTCGCAAAACCTCTTCCTCTGCTTGCTGACGTGTGGCTGCCTCCTCTCTTTCCCTGCGCTCGTCCTCCTCCTGCTTTTGTCGCAAAGCCTCTTCCGCTTCTTGCTGTTGTCTGGCCGCCTCTTCTCTTTCTCTGCGTTCGTCCTCCTCCTGCTTTTGCTGCAGAGCCTCTTCCTCTTGTTGCTGCCGTCTGGTTGCCTCCTCTCTTTCCCTGCGCTCGTCCTCCTCCTGCTTTTGTCGCAAAGCCTCTTCCTCTTCTTGCTGTCGTCTGGTTGCCTCCTCTCTTTCCCTGCGCTCGCCCTCCTCCTGCTTTTGCCGCAGAGCCTCTTCCTCTTGTTGCTGTCGTCTGGTTGCCTCCTCTCTTTCCCTGCGCTCGTCCTCCTCCTGTTGCTGTCGTCTGGTTGCCTCCTCTCTTTCCCTGCGCTCGTCCTCCTCCTGCTTTTGTCGTAGAGTCTCTTCCTCTTGTTGCTGTCGTCTGGTTGCCTCCTCTCTTTCCCTGCGCTTGTCCTCCTCCTGCTTTTTCCGCAGAGCCTCTTCCTCTTCTTGCTGTCGTCTGGCTGCGTCTTCTCTTTGTCTGCGCTCGTCCTCCGCCTGCTTTTGCCGCAAAGCCTCTTCCTCTTGTTGCTGTCGTCTGGTTGCATCTTCTCTTTCCCTGCGCTCGTCCTGCTCCTGCATCTGTTGCCTCAGCCGCTGCTCATTTTGACTGCTTTCAGCATGATTCATCGCGGCATGCGCATGGCAAGATCCATTTGGTGTCTCTTTCCTTCTTGCTTCCTCATCGAGCCATTTCTGTCGCTCCTGGTTGCGGGCAGGACGGCTGATCAAGATCCTGAACTTCCATCCCTTAAACACAATACGTATTGTTTGCGAGGCTGATGCATGAGAGAGCTCATGCATCTTTTCACAGCATGCACAGCGCTACATCCTGCTCATGTTGCATGGCGCGGTACTTGGAACCTGCATTGACGACCCGGCCTCTTCCCGACCTTATGCACTGTTCTCTTGCAACAGAACCTCTACCAAAATCAATGAAGCGGATATCCCCACATCCTTGCAATTCGACAAGAAAGGCACAGTTCAGCCTTCAATTCTTACACGATGGGACGGCCATGGCAGGCAGGCAGACACAAACAGGCAGACAGGCAGGCAGGCAAGCAGGCAGGCAGACACAAACAGGCAAGCAAGCACGCAGGCAGGCAGGCAGGCAGACACAGACAGACAGGCAGGCAGGCAGGCAGACACAGAAAGACAAACAAACAAACAAACAAACAAACAGAAAGAAACAAACCAAGCAACACAATTCAAAACAACACAAGAAAATCAAACAGGCCAAATCAAAACAACACGAAACAAGCAAACACGCAAACACGCAAACACGCAAACAAGCAAACAAGCAAACAAGCAAACAAGCAAACTAGCAAACAAGCAAGCAACAAAAACAAGCAAACTAAACAAACAAATCAACCACAGCAATCCCGGATGGTCCATCCCTAAGCTCCCTGCTGGCCCTTTCTTCCTCCAGCTGCCGCCGCAGGGAGCTGATCTCAGCGGCGGCTTCCCCCTGACGCAAAAACACGGTCACGCTACACTTCATATCCCCTCGGAGTTGTTTTGCATACTTCAAACCAGGTCAAGCTCTGGCGCAACTTCCACTGAGCAAGCTTGCATGCGCATGGCACGTTTTGCACGATGATGCTCATCTGCCTATTGATGTGGATGTCCATAAATCATGTGCATGTGCTCACTCTCAACGTTTATATGGACGTTGATGTGGATGAAGGCGCATGTGCATCTATTGCATCTCATGCATGTGGATGTGAACGCGGATGTGTGTGTGTGTGTGCGCGTGATAAAGAGAGGGTCATACATAGTGGCTGTGACTGTGGGCGATGTGCGATGGGTCAGGGGTGATGTACGATGTGTGAGGTGTGCTGTGTAATGTGTGACACGCTCGCGCGCGCCCACGTTCGTGCGAGTGCCCGCGTATGTGCGTGCATGTCAGTCTGCCTGTGAGTGCACGCGCGGAGGCATGCGTGTGCGCCTGTGAATATGTTCCCTTTTTAAATACGTGCATGCAAACACGTGCATGCACATGCAATCACACAAATCCGTTTGAGCGAAGATGCACACACGCACCTTTGCACCTTTGCATCTGGGAAGACCAACAAACTGATTCAAACAAATGTGCATATACGTGCGTGCAAAAGATTTCGCACAATGCATGCGAAGAAATGCACGCGTGCAAATACATGCGTGGGTGCAAATGGTTGCGTGCTTTAGCGCCGTGCACATGCTTGCATGTATACGTGCAAACTCTTGCATGCGCTGGCATAAGCGCGCGCGACCTGCATGCACGAGTTGGTGTGTGTGTGTGGGTATGTTGTTGTCCGTGTGTAGCCGGTATGAAGTGGGTGTATAGTGCAACATGCAGTGGAGGTGCAGTGGGTATGTGGCGTGTGTGTGTGTGTGTGTCTTCAGGTAGTGTTGTACAGGAAACACGGGAGGTTTTGACGCCTTCCATGTACCTCAGCTTTTGCCCCCCAACACAAAATGTCGATGGTACATCCAGGTCCAAACTTGGATCTATGTGAACCTCAACATGCAGAGTGCAAGCAAAGGTCTTAGCCATACCATACAAGTTGCCACAATCTGAGGAGGCAGCCTGCTGCACTTGTTGGGCTTTCCTGCCGTTGATCTCGCATGCTCTTCGGCTGGCTCACGCAAACTCGTTCTAGCCGCTCAATTTGCCCGCAAAGTGGAGCCACTCAGGAAGCCGCTGGTGGTGGGGAAACCCCTGACCTTGCATTCATTTCCCAAGTCAAGGCCCTCTAGCTCCTTCCATTCCAACGGGCCATTCCGTTGCCTCGCATCTTGAAGCCGTTGATCATGCGCCAGCAGCTCGGATTGTAGCCTGGCGGAAGGGATCCAGACACGGGAGTCCATTCCGTTGGACCCAATGCGCTCTTGGCCTTGGTTCGAGGCCCAGCTTCATACAATTGGACAAACACCCAAAACCCTTTCATTGGTTCTATCAAAACACGTATCGGTTTAAAGAGGCCTTACTATGACCTGAATGCAACCAGGCGGTAGAGCGACCTACAGTGGTCAATGAGGGTTTTGGGTGGTGCCGAATTCTGTGTCCACCAATGTGGAAAATGGGAGTCTTTGTTGCTAGAGGTCAGTCGCATGGGGAATTCTCGAGATCCCAAGAACCGTCTTCCATTGGTTTCGACGGCGGAAAGTAAAACTGCCCGTTGTGGGTGAGTACTTTCAAGGACAGGCAACCCCCCGTACAATCCCGCAAAGGCCATCTCAAAAATACGGGGTCCAACATGGAACCCTACATGGGCACGTAGACTAAAGCCTGCGTAACCGCTGCTTTAAACCTTAGCCACACCCAGATCGAGCACCTGAGAAGGTTGCTCCAAAGACCCGATCGGGCAACACCTTTTTGGGTCTTTCGAAGCGTTTGTGATTTGATCATAAGGAACTCAGACCAAGCCTGTATTGTCAAGTGACTAAACAAATGCCACCTGATCCCAGGTGTTGCTTGAAGATTTCTCCGCGAAGTACTGAAACATGCCATAGAAGTCATGGTTTCTCGCTTCCGCTGTTGCAGGATTCCATGGCAACAGCCGTGTTGTCATCTTTGGTTGGCATTGTTCACCATGAAAAGCAGCGACGCATATCCCAAAGACAGCACGAGCCATCCCAAGTCCGGTCGCGAGACTCTGACCATCGCTTGAGATGCGAAAATTCTGCCCTCATCCCCGAGGAATCAAAGCTCGCCTTGTGGTTCTCCCGGTCGCTCCCCGGGTTTCAGAAAACAGTTCAAGGGATCGGATTTGTGAAGGGAGTAAGCCCAGTGATCTGGGTATATGCAAGAGAAGTCGAGGACACACGGGATGCTATTCAAAAGCGTACCACAAGCACCCCATTGTTGGAAGGGGGGAGCCAGGGACCCAAGGTGAGAGTGGACCCCCTAAAAAAATAAACTTCTTGGGTGTCGCAAATGAAATGTCAGGTCGTGCGTGAGTTCTTTTGCCCAGAAATACGACGTCAATGTTCAAATAACCCCTATTGTCGCAACTCAAGAAAACATCTGCTGGGTTGCCCGTGTGTTTTCCAACTGGCTTCTCCTCTAGGGTGGATGAACCATTCACTGCAGGAAACCCCCAGGAAGGACCTTCAGTGTAAAATCGGTGGCAAACCCAATTCCACTGCAAGGTTCGCGGTTTCAGGTCAGCCGCCCAAATATAGCACGCAAAAAGAACAAGGAGAACACCCAATGCCAACAGTTCTCTTCGGATGCCACACATCTGCAAAGCGTAAGCTGAAGTAAAGGGATCCCTCTGGGCAGGTTGCAACCATTTCCAACTGAGCGCCCAACCGCTGTTGGCTGTTTTCTGCCAAGATGGTTGTTAAGGCTCCTACAAGCTTTGCTGTAACCATCATAAGACCAACGATCCAGTCGGGGAGCGGGGTTTGGACTTTGCAAGGGATCCTGAAACTCGGTAGAGGTGATTGTTTGACTGGCCCAAATGCGGATATGAATTTCAATGGGTCCCGGACCCTTTGCGTTTGTTGATTCATGTCCAGCAACCACTGTGGTTGGTGGTTCCCCGGTAAACCTCACGGCCAAGCACATCCTTGACACCCATCCCTGGCACCTCTGGATCTCTGCAGCCCGAGTGTTCGCCTGCGGCGCTTGCGGCCCGCGACGCCCGCATCTGACAGGCAAAAGTTGGCGGAACAGGTGTAACCTGTGCAATGGGCAAACGTGGGTGAAACATTGGAGCACAAATCGAGGAAGTATTGGCAAACACGGTATGCACAACCGTTTCGCCCTCCCAGAACTGCGCAACAAAAAACACCAACGGGTCAATTTCGTCAGACTTGCGTTTGCATTTTGTGTGGCAGGTGTAGCACGGTTAGGTTTCACCTCGTTCAAAATTGCAGTGTTATTCTTGTAAAGAATTGACACCCCGTGCTCTTTCACTTGCAGGATTTTGGGCTGAGGCGACTCAAGAGGGCAACGTTTATCCTGGTGTAAGGGGGGTCCGGAACACCCGCAGCCATGGCGCGGTTTGCACGGGGAACCACGTGCCAAAACTCACTAGTGGGAGGAATAGGTTTCAGGTCACAAAGGTCTGTGAGGGGGCTTGGCTCAGAATGCCTGACTAAATGTCAAGCCTGGTTGAATCAATCTGGCGGATCAATAAGAGCTGGCTACGCGTGGTTTCCTCCCCTCACTAAAAAAATATTGACCACCCCCGCAATGCCAAACCTCACTAACCTGCTGACCTGTTTGCAATTGTTTGCCCTTTCTGAAGATACCCCCTATTCTTTTTGGGGACTATGGTAAACCCTGTTTTTTTGCTTGCCTCTTGACATGGTTTCCATCCAAGCTCTGTTGGTTGTACCCTCGTGTCCATGCTGCCATGGACCCCACCAGAGGATCCAGAAAAAAGCGAACTTGTCCAAACCAGGCTCTGATCAACAAGCTCACTGCTTGAAAGCTAGCAGTTGTCGAACACCGAAGAGAAATACCACCTAGACCCCTGTCCCACGTGCAGCGAGGTCGATGAGCTACTCTTCCCGGACCAGGTGGACATCAAGCTTCGGTGGGAAAAGGCAAGCACGAACCACTTGTGGTTGGTGGTTCCAACTCTAACAAAATGCATGTGGTTCTTGCAAGTCAAGCGGGAAAACGAAGGAAACCAAATGAGCATGAGGACAAACGGTGAGCCACGTCTGGCAGTGGTTTGGGGTGGGACTTGACCCCTCCCCAGAGCGGAAACCCCGACCCCCCAATTGGGTGCAACCTGAAATTCAGCCTCTTTGACGCACACCCACCCTGTGTACACACCCAATTACACACCTCATAAGGAAAGATCATTTGACCACCAGAGATGGCGCCATTTGGCCGTACTCGTGCTCTCGCGGCCTCAGTCTCCACCTTCAGCACGTGGGCCTGCATGCCATGACCATGCTTCAATGATCTGCATGTGTTTATAACTCCCAAAGTGGAAACAAGCGATCCCGCTGTAGGACCTACACAATGAGCTCGTTTTGCCAGAGCTCGCCATCACATATGCAGAATGATGGCACCTGGAGCTTGTTGGTCGTGCAAAAGAGATCCCATAACTGCCGCCTTAGAGAGGGTGACTTGTGTGTCCTCTCAAAGCATTACGCCACCCAAAAAGGAAAGGCAAGTGAAACCCATGCCACTTGGAGGGGTTTGACTGCCTTCCTCCCATCATGTGACTATTTCCTGGAACTTGAACAAGAGACACGTAGTGGTTGATTGCCTTGTAGGCTAAGGAGCCCAACACCAAGCCAAACCCGATTTCTTGAAAGTGCCATCAAGAAGCATGATAACCATTTCCCTGAACCGACAAGGGAATAGTGGAACGGCCAACCAATCAAAGGCTTCCCAGGGAAAGTTCACCTTACCCTTCGTTGGGGTGTGGCTTGGTAACACCTTCCCCATTTGGTGTCAAAAAAACAGGGTACTGGGGTTCAAACCCCAGAACTACCAATCAATCTAAACCACCCACAAAGGGGAACCTGAGCAACGAAGCAAAGGGAAACCTTGGCGCCGGTTTTGTACACGCCTGGGCTGCGGAGTGAGTCTCGCTGGCATCTGGCAAAACCACTGCACCTGGCAGTCGGCCGTTCCAGCTGAATCTCGTGCTAAGTCGGGGGCCTTAAAAAATCGGGGCCAGAAAGAAGGTTTGGGTTGATAAAGCAGAGTCTCAAGGAGCTGTTTTCCAAAATAGCGGCATATGACTAGGGATGTGTTTGATTCCATACATGTCGCAAGTACTTCAAACTACATAGCAAGCAAATGAGCACTATGGATACAAGGAACCTGATCCGTGTCATGCCATTTCTGACCCTGGTTCTAGCCTGCTTGCTAGGTGGGTTGAGTGAACTTTGAAAACAAATTTTTAACTGGGGAGCTAACGTTGTCCCACTAGCCACCCGGGCTCAAAGTTATTGAAGCGGTTGACAGTGGCCTTTCCCATTGGCAACATTTGATGAAAGCCTTGCTGAATGCCCATGGAGCTGCTGAAATGTTGGATCCTTCGGGTGGCATTTCTTCGGAGAACTTTGCAAAAAGGACCACGCCCTCGGCAGAGAAGAAACGGCTCACATTTGCAAGCCTTGTGAACTAACCCTCCTGGTCGCCCACTTCTGGCCCCGGTTCTCACTCGATGCGAAACAGCATAGGGGCCTGGGAACATCCATGTCACAAATATCAATGCCTTGATTTCCTTCCGAGGAAACTATCAATTGGATGTATTGAAAGGTGTCCCATTCCGGGCCAAGAAGGCCGCTTACACAAAGCCAGGACTGACTGTCCCAATGACTTGAAGGCTCCCGAGCTTTCTCAAACCCGAAAAAAAGTGTTGTTTTTCCCCTTCGGTTTCCCTTACCAACCCCAAAGAGGTGTCCATGTGGCGGGGGCTTTGAATGACTCTCCTTAACCGGGCCTAGCTCCGCCAGCGTTTGGGCCTCAATGGCCTGGAGAGTCAACATGGCGACCCCAAAATGGCCCAGCGCCTTTTGTTCCCCTACCAACCTGAAGGGTACCCCTCAAAAAGAGCCACAAACCCACATGGGAGTGGTTGATATCTGAAGGGAAACCCACCATTTTAGCTTCAAGGGTCCACATACATCCCGCCGTGGTCTGTCTCAAAGTCGGGTATTTAGGCCGAGAATTTGAAGTGATTCCCGGCGGACAACTTCTGCCTTCGACTCACAAAAGTGACTGACCTAATCCTTACGGGTGAATGGCTATGACTCACCATGCAACAAGAAATTGATCCGGGCTCTTGGCCAGAAACCAAACCTACCTGCCAGGTTGGTCAGCTTATTTTGTCCAGATGCCTTTTTTCTTCTCAAAATTGGGGAATCCTCCAAGTGAGGGGGCTTTTTTGCGCTGTGTTCCTTCAAGGCAACAAGGAACCACACCCACATCAGAACGGCCCACTGAACCTGGCGATGTGCTGTTCCCCAATTTTGCCTAACCGGCGCTGAACGGGTGTGGAAAGGGAAACTCATCACATTACTCGACACCTACTTCATCTGCTGAAATCTTTGCTATAGGGAACATCTTTTTGGCTTCTGAATTGCTGTGTAAAGCCTTGAACACCTTTTACTGGAGGAAACATGTCCATTCTTGTACTAAGGAACCTTGTTCTACCCTTGAGGCTAGTCATCCTGTAGAGACCGGAACACCCCTTACGTGTCACAATAGTTGGATCCCGAAAGCCGAGGTTTTTGTGTTGAAAAAACAGCACACACACACACACACCGCATCTTAACATAAGGGGGGGGGGTGGAACTTCCAAAACCAACGGTTTCCTTTTGGCTTCTTTTTAAGAGCAACCAAGAGGTACCCACATCAAAAAGACAGACCCGTATGACCCGCCCTCCGCAGCTTTTCGCAAGCAACCGAACACCGGGCGCCTCCCAGTTCAAGCCGCTCAGGGAACTCTCGCTCACCTGAAGGAGTCGAAGGCCCGCTGAAATCGGAGCAGAACCGAAACCAGGGCCGTCTCAAGCCAAACATTTCGAACTGGAGAGCGTGGTTGAAAATCCGGCCCTTTCTGTACTGCTTAGCGGGTGAAACACGTCAAAACGGAAAGGCTCAAAGGGAATTCCCAAGGGCCGGCTTGTCAAAGGGGGCCCGTGTTGCGATGGCTTGGAAAAGTAGATAACCAGCCGACAAAAATAGTTTGGAGTCCCTAGACTGAAAGCGCACACACACATTGACATGAAGGTTCAAGGTGCAGCAGTTTTCAGGCTAAGTCATGTGGGGTCTCTCGGCGCAACCCTGTTGACAGGTTTGCTTGAACAGCTCCAATTTGTCGAAGACTTGATGGCAATGCTCCCATGCTCTCGCGTTTGCTGTCCGCGCCAGATTTCTCGAAAACTACAGGATCCGCTTTTCGGAGCCTTTGAAAAACAGCGCTCTTGGGTAACAGGCCAAAAGAACAGGCTAGCCGTGGAATAAGCTTCCGTCGCAGCACAAGCGAGACCGTTTCAGTGACTGACTGCACAGCAAGCTGAGACGCTGGCCATTTGCAGATGCTGCCTAGCTGGCTGGAACGTCCAACGGTCAACCAAAGATGCCGCAGGTAGTCAAAGCGTTGTTGGCAAGAGTGATTATCAGAATTCACCAGGTCACCATCCCGAAACACAGGATCTGAAGAAAGGATACGTCACCATGAGGTCGGCGACGAGGTTGTTCCAGGTGGCCTCTATGAGGGAATTGGTTTGTCATTTTTGAGGGCGCCCATTTTTTGCGGCTTTTAAAGGGACAAGGGTGCCCGACAAAAAGACACACCCAAAGGCACCTTTTTGGTTCATGGGTCAAACCTCCCACATCTGAGGGTACACGGAAAATAGGTTGTTGTTTGTGATTCTGTTTCATACTTCGTCCGCTCTAAAGTACAAAACAAGTCTGGGATCGGAGACCAAAGGCAAGTACCCAGGTGTCGTTTGCTCATCTGAGCTGACGACACAGGGCACTCTTGAAAAGTGGGTTGCTCATTGCGCCCTGAATAAAAGGTCTAACCCTTTGTAGGTTGGATGGAGATACCATGGTTTCTGAAAGATCGGGCGACGTAAAGTCACACCAAAGGCAAATGAAAAGTGGTTGGCCCATACTTGCATGCTTAGGCAAGTAGGTGAACCATGGTTCTAACTGCAGTATCTGGGGATGGTCCCCTTTGCAGGGTTTTTCAGCTGCTTACTAAGTACCTTGAACACCCCTGAAAAGTGGTTGGTCCCCATACCCAAAAATCAGGGTTCCCTACATGTCCAACCTAAAAACATCACCCCAAGAGAAACTCACCTGAAATGGGCCAAACAGGTGATGCAAACGAAAACCAAGGAACATGTACTATGAGTCTGTATTTGTTGCGAGTGCCGAGTACCCCTTTGGCCGCCCGGTTCCCGTGGGTTCCCGTGGGTTCCCGGGCTCGAACACCTTCCCGCTCTGGCGGCACGCGGCACGGAGGCGCTGCGACACGCCCTGCGACACGCGACACGCCCTCGGGTCCATGGGGGCTGGCTTCGAGCTTTGCACTTCAAAAACAGGACCCGGAAATCTACCTGGGGTCTACCTGGGGTCTACCTGGGTGTTCAAGCTAAGTGAATCATAGGGGGGCTACAAACAGTTTTGCCACTTTGTGCCGCTGCAAACAAGGGGGGCCTCTCATGATTCTGTGAACCAAACATGCCGCGGTGTACAGCCCCGCCCTTTCCGAAAGCGCCGCCAGCCTTCCAAAGGAGCTTGTGCATCCATGTTTGTTTGTGGGAGGGACCCCGGCTTGGGTGGATTTTATACGGAAATCGACCGGGCCCCCCACGCGACCTTGCCTTGATGGGTCATAGTCAAAGTCAGTTCCTTGACGAATTCTGATTCTCTGTATGGTTCCTAAGCTCGGGCACCCCAACCAATCTATTTGACATTCCCATGAAGCGCAGAATTCTTGGTATTCTTGAACATTGACGGACTATGAGAGTGTTTCCAAAAATGTGTGACGCCTAAACATGAGGGTTGCCTTGTGGTTCCGAGCTTTGTGGAGCTCTCTGTTCCTTTTCGTTTCCCCCCCCCCCAATCCTACTGCCTCAGCTTTGTGCCGCCAACTAAAAGTAACCTGTGTGGATTCTGGTCCCTTTTCCGTGAAACTTGAAATGACAAAGGTCACAATCCCCCCCCCCACACTTTATCAAATGAGGACCCTCCACACAATTGGTTGGTTTCCTGTTGGTCAATGTTGGCTCTCCCGTGTGGGCTGGTGCCCAAAACATATATCCTTCAGTTTCCCACACTATCTGAAAAGCGACAGGGTCAAAGGATGTGGCTTCCATACAGGACATCGGGAATACGAGCGCTTCCCCTGGTTTTTGGGCTCAAACCCCTCCCGAAAGGAGCGCTGACCAACTGCTGGATACCGTGACCGAATATCACGTGGGACCATGAAATGAGTGTCCCCTTTTTTCGACGGACCCTTTCTTGTGAACCAGACCCTTTTGGGACCCCAGAAAAAGACAAACCCAATGAGCCCAAATTTCAAGCAGTCTAAGGCGTGGATAGCAAGGTTCCATGTACATCCCCCGCCTCAGCCGCCACCAGCGCAGAAGGGTTTTTGGGCAGGCAGCCAGCGACCCCCACCTCAGGTTGGCGACAGCGGCGGCTGTACTTGGCTGTTCAACCAACTTAGCGAGTAACGTTGCTGCTGATTCATACCCCCCCCAAAAGACTCGTAGCCAGGGGTCCATTCCAGGGACTCGTAGCCCGCTCCAAAGCGATGCAGGGGTCCATTCCTTTGAGGGAACCCCCGAGTAGCTGGGAGGCTTATTCATCGGGGATCAGCATCAGGTTATAGGCACAGTTGTATCCCGGGTGACTGGGGTTAGTCCCTTAGAAGCATGGATATAACCCGTTAAGTAGCTTGAACACCCAAGTAGGTGCGGGGATAGGGGGTACCTCAGCTTTTGCTCCCCCCCCACTACGGGGTTCTGGATATTCCCCGTTGAACAGCACCTCAACCAGAAACTCACGTAGCGGCCAAAGGATGATGTTTAGCACCACCGGCGAAATACAGGCCATGCAGCAGTCCAGATTCCTGTGGAACAAATCCAACCGCTGGAAGGCGCCTGTCCTAAATGCTCATGAGGTCATCGAGGATTGGACACTAGGTTCAACCAGACCTTCGACCTGTGAAAGAGGTTGTGAACAAGAAGCGCCTTTTTTTGGGCATGTTTACACCTAGGGTTGACGCGCTAACCTAATTTTGGCTTGCCCTCAAATGGCGCGCGCCAACTACGAAAAACATAATTCAACCCCACAACAATGGCTCCCTAAAAAGTTGGCCCCAAACTCCCTCACCAAATGGGTGCGTTTTCTTTAAGGAGACCCCCCAAAGAAAAAACAAAAGGAAAAGAAGAGTACAGTAGTCTTCCTTTTGGGTTTCCCCTCAAAGCCAATCAAAGGGGGTACCGTCAAACACGACAAACCCAAAATCCCCGGGAGCCGTGGCCCCCGGCGTAGGCCACCGCCAAAACGCCTCTGCTGATGGCGATGGCCTCTTCGTGACGTGAGCTTTGGTCAGGTGGCCGCGTGTCGTCCGTTCCTTTTTGAGCGAGTACCCGTGTTTTTGGGTTGGCTTTAAAGGGAAACCACGAGGAACACCGGCACGTCTTGGATTTTGGGCTCTAAGAAAAGAAGGTTCCTTGATTCGCTGGAGTTTTCAAGTGAACACAAAAAGGAACTGGTCATTTCAGCAAGACCGACCCAAATCCTGTGGCTGGAGGGAATCCACTTCGCACCAGTTCAGTGGTTATGCCCTTGTCACAGGGGCTCATCGAAGTAGTGCGAAGAACATTTTGTCCACATCTTTGGGGTCCTGTGGTCCCTTGCTAAAGTTGAACTTTTAGTAGGATATGGGTCTGTCTTTTTTCGAGGGTACCCTTTTTTGGTTGTTTTGACAGGGACACCGAAAGGAAAACCCCTGCGTTGGGGATCCCCTAAGAAAGACAAACCCTTATGAGGAAGTTCAGAGTTGGTGCCCCTTTGTCGACAGGAAGAGAGTCCGTGCGTCGGACATGTGCGAGAGTGGTTTTCAGAAAGCCTTTCAATTCGTCTACCCACAGCTATCTGCGCCTGATTCTTGAGACAGTCGACTCGCAACGTGTCACAACTCCTAGCCAAACACACCCCCCAGGAAGACTACCAACAAAAGCAAACAACGGAAAAGAAGGCATCCCTCAAATGGGGTCAGGAAGATACAAGTCAGAGCAATCAATCTTGGTCTTTTATTGACTTCCATCTTCTGAATGCACCCGCCAGTTTTGGTCCAGCCCTACAGGGTCATGATCAGCTGACCGGGTCTTGATTGTGGCTTAGTGGGGGGGGAGAAATTACCAACAACCGAAGATTCAAACAACTCCGGATAGCATTTGTTTGCAGAAAGGCATCCTTGAAAGAAGGCTGATCATAAATCCCGAAAATGATGTCCACCAAATGGTGGCCACTTTGTTGGGTTCCCAGTAAAGCAATGCCACGCCCCACCCTCTGCAGCCTCTGCAGACCGGGACGCCGTCATCGCCACCAGCTGCTGCCTGACGCGCAGCGGCGAAAAGAATGCATTTCACCGGATCCATTGAAGTGACATCCTCAAATTTACTCTCCCAAGCGTTTGGTTTAAATGGAAACTACCTGCAGAAGTAGTTCCTGGAGAACCATTCAAAATGTCTAATTTGAGGGATCCAGTTTACTGAGCCGACAGTTTCTGTGCTTTCACTCTTCGATTTTTACACCTTTAAAAGGATTTCAGCGGGATGCGCTTCTTGGAATATGTGCTTGTGCCCGAATATGGGAGAACCCCGTTTTGGTAAAGGGCAGGCCCAGATCCATGTCACGCCTTATTGGACCAACTCGAGTTTGGCCCAAAAAGCAAAACGCAAAATTGGAGTCTTAAAGGACTGGAAGTTGGGCTTGGAAAACCGCGCCTGAGGGTTGTGGCCATCTGCGAAGCCTCCGCCAGGCGTGCCTGCGGGGAAACGGTTTGATTCCGCGGAGAGAAAGTTGGGCACCTCGTCAGACCGCCCGTGGATAAACCTGGTGGAGGGCCCTCTGTTAGACTGCATGGATTTGCAAAAAGTATGAGCCGTCGGAGTGCATTTTGCCAGCCACCAGTTTGAGCCCGTCTTGGATTTCTATTGGGAGCGGTTGCTTTCGTTTTGGCATCCCGTCAAACGTTACCATCCAGAAGGCCATGTCGCGTCACAAAGCAACTGGGTTTCTTCCGGGACTGGTCACAAAGGAAGATACAACCACCATTCGCATGTTTGCAGGCGGAAGCGGCTCCCAAACTAACATATTCAGCATCGCACAAGCGGGTCCTTTAGGCAAGGATGCTTGAAACACGGTGCCACCCAACAGGGTGAAACTAGTTCCACGCGGTCCATGCGCCATGCGGTCCATGCGCCGCAAATGGCCACGTGGTTCTACCCAGCTTCTTCGTTCAGCAAGGCTATAGTAGGAATTCATTGGTTCGTGTGCCAGCCGTTCCGCTTTCAATAGGGCGATCCACGGATTGTAGCCGTTCTTTCAACTGGATCGGACAGTTTTCAACTGGAGTTTTCCAAGGCTGAAATCCATCATGAGAGCTGAGCTCGGCTCGAGCGAGAGCCCTCGCCTCCGCGGAGGACAGGGACGCGGCGGTGCCCGAGGCCGCGGCCGCGGAGTACTCCGCCTATCGGTGCTCTCGTTCCCGGGCACCAGGGGCAAAAAACCATCCAAAGCCTCCAGAAAAGGGAAACGGAAGGACACCGTTTTTGCCAAGCTACTCAAAACGGGGTTTGGCGATTTTGAGCCCAAGCACACACTCAACAAAGGTTGGGGCCAGCCATTTTCTGCCAGCATGAACAATAATTGAACTGCTGACAGGGCTCCGGAATCCCGCAGTGGCTTGCCTCCCCACCCGCACAGAACCCAACAGGTAATTCAAGAGGAACCAGCAGGCGAGCAGGTTCCATAGTTCGTTGGCGAGAATGTACGGGGGGTTCTTGAGAAGGCACACTCCGGTCCCTGAACGAACTGAGACCGCCGGCCCGCTGCTGGCAGTCTTTGGCGATCGCCAGCTGCTCCTTCGAGGAAAAACAAACTAAGGGCCGAAATGCTTAGACTGGGCTGCTGAGCGCCAAAACTCTCTCAGTTTGAACACTAAGCCTAAACCCTAAACACCCAAAAATCAAAGCCATGACCATGGGAGAACATGTTTGATCTACCACTTGCACTGAAGATCCACCAATCTGGGCATGGGCTTGGGCGCCAAACGTCAGGCGACACATTGTGACCCTCGTGCTTGGGCTCCATCCCTCATTCGTGGTGTGGATTGGTGGTTTGAAGGTTGGGGCTGGTTTCCACTTCTACAAGCACCACTACAAACTTCCAAACAACCATCCAAACCAAGGGTTACCGGACATAAGGTCTATAGTGGGAACCCCAAATAAGCCAACCCCAGCTGACAAATAAAAGGTGTTTTTGGGGGCTGACCATTGGCTCCTGCAGGGAGCGCTGCTCCAACCGCAGCTGCTGGACCTGCGCCCCCCGAATCCAGGGATCGATCGCTTCAGAAGCCTGCTCCACTCAAAAAAAATACACCTCTCCAGTTTTGGTCTATTTGAGCATGCATCAAGAAAATTAGTTGGGGGGTGGTGTGTTGGCACTGATGGAACTATGTGGACGATGCTATAGAGGACTGCCCGAACAAGTTTTCTGGCTAATTCTAAGACTTGGGCTTTCACATGTTTTACCCCTGGAATAGCTCGCCACAATCTGCATGCCAGCTTGCGGGTTGTTCCTGTTTTTGCACTGCTCACCTGAATTGTTGCGGTTGATTCTCAAGAGAACCAACATCTAGCTGGCAAACCAAATTGCGACAAGCATTTAGATACAGTGCTTCCAACTTGTGCCCTCGCTCACAATTCTGTTGGTTGGCGTGTTGTTTTGTGGGTGACATTCAGCAAAATCCTTCTCTCGTAGCTTCCCGCGTTGGGTGGCTTCCCATTTACTCTTGACAAGAACCAGGGGCTCAAAAACCAAACAACCAATCCAAAACATCCTATCGTTTAATGCAAACCAGTCAAGCATCAACTCCGGTCGGGTAGTTCAAACATGGATTCACAGCCATGGCAACCATAGGTCAGGGCCCTGGTCTAATTTCATTCCCCGACTCCCAAATTTCCATGACGTGGTCCTTGGAGCTTTGGACATGGACAAACAGCCACTCACTTCCTCAGCGGATTGGCCAACAAAGCCGGAACTTCTCATTCACACCATGATCTGCCCAACAAGTGACTAAATTGCAGGAACTCAGGAATTGAGACCATTGGTTGGTAGAATTCCATCTTTGACGCCGGAGGCTGAGCTTGAACAACAATCACGTGGTAAAAAGGGCATGGTTTTTTTGGTGGCTCCGGTAGGCTCAGGTACCCCACCCCTCCCCTTTGGCTTTGAGCCCACCTTTGGGTTGGTGAGGGATCCAGGACCAAAACAAACGGATTGGGGGGAAACCAACGGACCATTGGGCATCCTTTTTCGGCGGTTTAAAAGTGGAACCCGGTGAAGTGGAACCCGAATTGCTCCAAAAAAAGGCGTCGCAGCCAATTTGGGCGCAGACTCCACGCCGGCGCCACTTCTCCGCCCACCAAATCCGCGGCTTCGCCTCCGCGGCGCCCTGGCGCAGCTCCGCCTCCATGGCGCCGCGCACGGAGTCCAGCTCCAGCTCCCTGGCGGCATCCGCGCCGTCCGTTTTGGGGGGGGGAACCCAAAAGAGAGAAACCTTTAAGCTTGTCTGTATAAGTGGCTTTTATTGAAACGATCCCCCCTTTTGGTCCAAAGAAAGGGAAACTAGGCAGTAGAGAGGTTAGAATAAGGGTACCAACTTCTTTTTTCTGTAGTCTATTTTAGTAGGGGAACCCTCCCCAAAGAAAGTTGGTAAAAGGGCACTACTGGGGGACCTAGGAGAGAAACCTGAGTCAGTTCCCATGCTAGAAAACTTGGGGGACCTAGGAGAGAAACCTGAGTCAGTTCCCATGCTAGAAAACTAATTGGCACGGAATCTGGACCCCGGAGTAAGTATCCTCCCACCCTTTTCACGGAACCTGACGTTCGGGTCCTGGCTTGGACAATTTTCCTTTTACAGGGGCCAGTCCTGAACATAAGTTCCATGTGAAAAGGGTGGGAGGGTAAGTAGGTTCTAAGTTAGGTAGTTGTTCAAACGTGGATGTTCAAATTTACCAAGTAGGCTATAATCATGGTTGTAGCTTGGGTACTTGGGGTTGGTCGCCTTATGACCATGGACATAAGCTACTTGCTATTTGGTTTGAAACCCAGGAATTTATCCAATTAGCCAAATACACTCACAAAAATCAGCTTGTCTAACTTCCTCCATAATTCCGAAGTTTTATTTGTTTGGGAGGAACGCCTGGAATGATCTGGGCACAAAGATGATCCCCTATTGGATCCTGAAATACACAAATGAGAAAGCCACAACTTGCCCAACAGACAAGGGGAAACAATCCCCCTGTTCATCCTGGTCGATGAATGGGGTGGACCTTCAGGCTTCCCAAAGGTTGGCTTTGGGCGTTCGTGGTTTGTCGACTTTCGAACACGAGGTGGACACCACATCCGAAAAGAGACCCGCCCATGCAGACTCCCTTTCGGCCGATCAGGATTTCGCTTTACAAAGAGGACAGTGCTGTGGGTCCCCCCGTTTTCGGCGATTTTGCGCCGCCTTTGAGTCCCCCTCCACTTCTTGAAGAATGGGGTGCCAACTCCTGCCTGGCCCACGAGCCATCGGCCCGAAGGAGTGCTTCAGATCTTCTGGGAATGCAGCCGCTTTGCCCACATAGGTCAAACGCTTCCTTTGTGCCCCAGGGGCTGGCTCAGACTTCTCCATGGAAGACTTGGGTGCGAGTCAAAAAAGTTCCCAAGAAAGCCTGGCAAATGGAGAAATGGGCAAAACCCTGCGGTCGCTGGTGGTTTGATTTTCACCCATGCCAGACAGAAACACATGGCTGTGATCCCCCCACCTCATCTGACGATCCCCCTCCAGGCGGAGCTGTTGCTCCCGCATCTGCTGCCTGGCGGATCTGGGTTGCTCCAGTTAGTCTTTTTTTCTCCTTATCTTGGGGGAGGGGCACTCAGCAAAGGACCTTTCAACAGGCAGGTTGGGCTTATCCTCCAAAAACTAGGGTTGTAATCCAACTATTCAAAGGGCTCTTTGATTCTGGCTGCAAAATGTCACCTTGCAAGAACAGCTCAACCCCCTAAATAGTAACACGCGATGGGCCCTGTTTCCTTTTTCCGCAACGACAGCCAATCAAAATGCCAACAGTTGGAATTGAGGCGGGTCCTGGTTTTGGCGGGTTGCACGAGGGTTCCAGGCAGGCTGATTCCTTTTTGCGCTTCTTTGATTGGACCCTCGAAGGCTCCCACTCCACAAGAGCAAGATCGGCTCCTTTCCAGCCCTTGGCCATGTTGACGGCTAAAGGAGCAACCGACCTCAGACTCAGAAAAGGGCAACTGTGTGCGCCCTGCGACCTCAGATCGACCGGATTCGGATCCATGGCAGGGGCACACCATCATCTGGGCATCCGCCAGTTGCGCGTGCTGCGCCCGCATCGCGTCTCTGAGCTGGTCCTCTCCGGAAGAGACCATCATTTTCACGCATGGGCTTGACTGAACGCCAAGAAACAAAAACCAGGGTTTGCCTTCGAACCCCGTTTGATAAACAAATGCTAGCCAAATGTCGCCAGATTCGGAAACACTGCAGGTTATAGGGACGTTCCCAAGTCGAGGATACCCCCTGATTGCATAAACTCCCATGGAGTTCTTGCATGGGATGGTTGGCAAGCTTCGCTACTTCTTTGCTAGTCAGTTCGTCAGTTTCCGATGAACACGCAAAACAAAACAAGAGCGTTTGTTGATGATTGTCCCCACGGATGTCCGCACCAGCTTCATCGATTGACGCTGGCTCAAGAATCCAAGTAGCGCCCATGTTCTCCAAAAAAAAGCTCATGAGATATAGTGCTGCAGAAGTTTGTGGGGAACATCCTTTCACTGACTCCGTTACAGACTCTGCCATGCTTTTGGCAAAGGAAATCAAAGCAGCTGCCCAGTTGACTGGTCGGAAAAAGTGTGAACTTTTTGGCCCTATGATGAAGAGCTCCAACAAGTTGTTGAATTTTGCCAACTCACCAATTAAGAACACTCGAGGCAAAGCAACGCGGTCCATTGCTTTGGCCGACGATTTCGAGCTGTGGTCGAGTTGGGTACTTCCAATGGTAATCAGCTTTTGTCTTATGTCGAGCCATGCTTGATCAAATTGGGGGGGGGGGTGTTTACCCAATGTCAGGAAGTTATTCATCCTGGGTTCCGGTATCACCAGCGGCAACCAAAACCCGCCATTCTTCTGCCACCCCCCCCCAGGCGGCAGAGCTGTCCTGGTGCGCCTTGGAGGATCTCAGCTGCTCCTCCAGCAAGGACGCCTCAAGACGTTTTGGCGTCGGAAGGATGAGCATAAATATTGATTTTTTAATAGGGAACCCTTTCATGCACAGAATTCGGGGAGTGTCCGCGAGTGTCCGACTTCCTTTTGGTTTGTGGCTTTTAAATCGCAAAAATCATAGCCACGTCAGAATGCAAGTGGTAATGGAAGGCTCCAAAGACCCTGACTTTGTCCCTTCCCTGGCGGGCGGGTTTCAATGGGAGGGGGGAACATTTGATCTAGCACAGCGTACATGCCTTGAAGCAGTACCCATAACTCCCTCTGATGGTTGGGACAACCGTTTAAAAGGACGCTGAATGAGATGTTGTCTTCGTTCCCTAAACTACTTACAAAAGCTTCTAACACATACCGCCATGCGCCTTGAATCGTTTTTAATGCAACGCTTTCGAGTACGGAATGCGACAGAAGCTGGGTCCATCCATATCCACTTTTGCCCGTTCAACAGAAATCCTAGGGGGTCATTCCGAGGGGCACGCATACCCCTGCATGCCATGAGTCGCATGAGTCGCAGGCAGTGAAACGGGAGCCTCAGCCCGTTTGGCCCATGACGCTTCCAACCCTGCCGGGGCCATCTCGGCACCCCAGCGCGGCGCTCGAGCTTCTGACGCTCGGCCTCGAGGCTCGCAAAGTGTCCTTGTTGGTGTTACCAACCGAACAATCAAGGGACCAGCCCCAGAAAAAAAAACACCAAGAAACATGTCCGTTACCCTCGCTCCACCATGGAAGCTGACCGGAGGCTTTTGGAAGACTGCTTTCCTTTTCGGGAAGTCACTCGTCCACTTCCATTATTGGAAGGAGGGCAGCGGAAATCCCCGAAACGAGTCCCCTGACAACGGCTGCAAATAAAATCTAGTGGCAGCCTCCTTTCGTTTCATGCCCAACTTTCAGAAGTTGAGGGAATTCTGCAGAAGGGCGAGCATCCTTTGAAAAGTCGATGCCACATTCTGGTCCAACGGTTGGGAAGAATACACTGTCATGCACTCTGCACAACGGACTCAAAAGTGTGTTGTGCCCTTGAGCTAACGTCTGCGTGCTTCTACACACCCCATGGGCCCAGGTTCCTACCAAAGGACTACGTGGCCCATGCCGTAGAATGCGGGTGCTTGCTGGTTTACCAACGTATTTTCTCGCAATGAATCCTCAATTCCCGATTTGTTCATTCATCTGCACCCATTGACTCCTGCTACCAAGTAGGTCAACGAGGCGCGTGAGTACTCCAATTCTCATGAACAAATATTCAGGAATTTCTTAACAACCGGAAATCAGAAAGCCCCAAAAAACCTCTCTCCAACAACCATAGGAGCTGACAAACATCTCTATGGACCGAATTCCCCGGTTCCATGCCTGCCATCCTTCAGGTGTCGCCTCTGCTCGGACCTCGGCGCACGTGGCAAGACCCGCCACAAGCCGGCTCTGCAATGGTTGAAGCCAATGCAGATTAACTGGAACATCAAATGGGCGTGGCTCAAAATGGAACCCTGGAAAAAGTACCCAAATCTGGGGAATGACAATGATTCACCAAATAAGACTATATACTAGTTCCAATTCAGTGCAGTGAGCTTCATTTGGACCCCCCTGGTGGGGTTCTTGGTACATAATACAACCGGCTAAATCATTACACACATTCCCTTGTGGCCATGACTGGCCCTGACTTGAATTTTGAGAGCAACCTTCTAATTATGTAGGCCTGTGTCACATTTGTTGAAGTCGTTGAGGGTCTGGCTGCACGTGTTTGCATCGTTTTTTTTCAGGGGAACCTCCAAAATTGTGTTTGTCCTTTCTTTAAAACCGCCACAACAATAGGGTGCCCGAAAAGAAAGCGCCCATTTCATGTTCCCATCAGGATATCCCGTAGTCGACGGTCCTTTTGGAAGGGCTATGGGGGACACTCACACAATTTACAACAAAAAGAACCAACAATCCCCGAAAGCTGTCCCAAACCACCCCAGAGCCCATCTGGGCAGAGACCCCATAGCTTTCGGCTGTTGGGTAAAAACACGGACCCCATTGGTTGAAATCCTCAAGAGATGCCTCAGGCCTCCGGCCACGTCTCTGACAGCTGCCACCAGATCGCCCAAGCACACGGAGCTCAACGGAGCCTCGAGCGCCACATGGAACCCTAAAGGGCGGCCAACCATTTTCTGGCGGCATGCGTGGATTGTTTTCAGGAAACTGAAAACCAAATACAAGATTCTAAATGAAAGTTAGGGTGCGAACATGCTGTTTGGCAGCCCTAGGGATAGTTGGGCATCAGCGAGCCTCAGGAAAGCCTACAACCCCCCCTCTTTGCGCCCCTTCTTTTCTTGGGGCTTGCCATATCATGGACCCTGCGCTTGGAAGAAGTTTTCAAGCGCACCATGGGCCAAACGCCTGCGGCATGCTGAAAGAGAAACAACAACTCGCAGGAAATTGCCAAGTGTCCACCACATGGAGAATTCCGCCATTGCAGCACTCTGATAACCCAACCTGCAAAGCGTGTTTGGGCTGGGAGGTTCCATAATCGACAAGCGAGATTGCCCACAGATTCCGGTGCTCGTAGCTTTACGTCTTCGAAGGGTGACCAAAGACGCCCCACTCCGGGGTCGATGACTATTGCAACAGCTGAACCTCCTGAATCGCTCACTAGTTGCGATTGTCTTGGTTCTCTTTGCGACGCAAGAAGGCAGCTCACTTTGTTCATACACCTGCACACACACAAACAACACAACACAACGCAACAGAACACAACACAACACACAGACACACACAAACCCACAAACACACCCAAACACCCACACAGCCACAAACGCCCAAAGCCACACACACATAAAGCCACAGTAACAAACCCACACAGCCACAATTAGTCACAGTCAATCACAGACGCACACACAGCCACAAACACGCACACAAACACACACGCACAGAGACACACACACACAAAGACACACACACAAACACAGACACAGAGACACACACACAGACACCCACACACACACACACAAAAACACACACACACACACAAACAGACACACACACACAAAACATACACACACACACACAGACACACACACACACAGACACACGCAGACACACGCAGACACACACACAGACACTCACAGACACACACACACAGACACACGCGCAGACACACGCACAAACACAAACACACAGAGACACACACACAGACACACACAGACACACACAGACACAGACACACGCAGACACAAGCAGACACGCACACACAGACTCACAGACACACACACACAGACACACGCGCAGACACAAACACACAGAGACACACACACAGACACACACAGACACAGACACAGACACACACACACAAACACAAACACACACACAAACAGACACAGACACAGACACAGACACAGACACAGACACAGACACAGACACAGACACAGACACAGACAGAGACACAGACACAGACACAGACAGAGACACAGACACAGACACAGACACAGACACAGACACAGACACAGACAAAGACACAGACACAGACACAGACACAGACACAAACACAAAAGCAAACACAAACACAAACACAAACACAAACA